ATATATATATATATATATATATATATATATTATACATATATATATATATATATATATATATATACATATATATACGCGTGTGTGTGCGTGTGCGTACTATATACCACAACAAAAACACATACATCTGTATTTTATTACACATGTATGTGCATGTTTACACACCTGGTGCGGTGCGATTGCGACCGTCATGAACTCATCGCAGCATGCGTCTCGCATAGCTACTTCGCCCATGGCCTTTGTCTCTGCGTATGGCTCTAGGAATTCGCCCTGTGCATTCCATAGTTAAAAATAATATGTCGAAAGTAGTGAATATTTACAGAGAAATATCGGACTCTGAAAGTTCGCCCTGAACATATACAAAGCACAGTGATATGCTGGCTTCATAGAGTATACCAGGGAGACCCCCACCAATCATCGTATAATGATACGCCGACAACAACTACAAGAAGAACTGTCCCAGGAAATCAGGTGGGAAAGTAAGCGGATAAGCAATACGAATATGCCGGTTCTGTATCTATGGCCACAGGGCTATCCGAGTGAATTTACAAATATATCTTTCAATATTTATGCCACAAGAACACATATGCGTTGAGATGATAGGTTAAAGAAACTATCGAATATATATATATATATATATATAAATATATATGTATGTATATCTATATATGTATATATATATATATATATATAAATAGTATATAACTATATATATATACATATAAACTATATATATATATAAATATTGTATATTATGTATTATATATATATATATAATATTTATATATCAAGGCAGAGATATAGTCTTAATAAATGATATAAGCCTATTTATATATTTATTGAACTTTAGTATGGGTCATACTTGTAGATCACAACCGACGTATAATCTATCAAGACGAGGACTTTCGTCAATTGTACAGGGTTATGAAACTCTACACACACACATCCAAGCACATGATAGATATTCGTTCAGGGTGATTATACCCGTACGTCCGTGCATACAATGTAAATCAAAAAGAGATGTTGAAACTTGGACAGCACATACGCAAGCACACGATAAATGTCCTTTCAGGCCAAACATAACTGTACGCACGTGTATATAAAGTATGTCAAATAGAGATGCTGAATCTTACACATGACATACCTCTTGACGGATCTGCATATCGTCCTCTGTCACACCATACATATCGTTACCGTCAAATCGCGTCGAAGGGGACGACGACATTACACATCTGGGGATCTGAAATGAAGAGGGTTCTATCCCGTTCATAAACCTGTGGATATATACACACACGCACAGAATGATAT